TGGTAATTTAGAAGAGCACTTCTAAAAAGGAAATGTAGCAATAAAGACAGATAAATTCCAATCAACAGTGTGAAGAGGAGGCTGATTGAGGGGACTTGCTGGACAGATGCAAATATACACGGATGAGTGCTTAACTAAGAAGAAACATTTTTATAGTACCTGTGGTGGTTTGGTTTGTTTTTTTGGTTTTTTTTTTTTTTTTTTTCCCCCAAGCTTTGCATGTCAAGCACTGAAAACTCAGCAAGGTCTAGTTACTGTTTGGGAATGCTTTTCCATAAGAAAAGAATTGTCTCAAGTGTAATGGGCCTATAAATACAATTAGTGCTGTAGAGCTAAATATACCTGTGAGGAACTGAGTTGCTATGCAGCAAGTAACCAGTTGTTCCTGCTGTAATGTTACTGGTTCCTTTCACTGTACATTCATTCTTCCCACATTTGCAGAATAATATTTAATACAAAAAAATTCTCCAAAGCAATTCATAATGTATCTCCAACTTATAAAGTATTCAGATATCAATAATTCAATTTGTTTGATCAGTGGCTGTCAGCAATTTTTTCAGACGATATCTAAATTCTTCATTTAGATGTGCAAATCACCCCAGAAGCTGAGCACATTTGTATGAAAGAACTGAACTCTCTCTAAAGTGCCCATATGTGAAATGTTGGTATGTTAAGCATTTCTGGCAATTTGATTATATAATTGTTTTTAATTAGTGCTTGTTTAAAGCCCAACCACTGTGAGTATTAAAAAGTTAAATATCTGAAAGCTTGATGTTTCAATCAAATACAGATGTTAAAGTGGAGAAAACATCACTTAACATCAGTGTCAGAAACAAGTCAATTATGTTGCCTGTGATGAGCAGCCATTCCAATACTGCCTTTCTAGAACAGTTTTCATACTAAGAGTTTCTTTCAAGTAAATCAAGCAGCAAGGCATCTAAATTAAAATCTTCATTAGTACACTTCTGTTAATTCTTTTCAGGGCTATTTTAGGGATGTTGATGTGAACCTAATATTTGGAAGTTTGTGATTTTCTGCAATTTTGGACCTGAAAGATTCATAATTTAATAGCAATTCAATCATTGGTATTTACTGAACATGTACCCTGCATAGCATAATATTAGCACAGTACAGCTATACTGTGTGGATTAATATTTTAAGTCAAATATATTAATAGTCTCTCTTAAATCAGATAAAACTAAAACTTCAGGTCTGAAGAAGCTGTATTTAGTGTGCTTTGTAAAATCCCTCTTTTCATATGTGTCAGTTTTTAATGAAACCTTCCCATGACAGAAGAAGGTGGTGGCATTGCAGTTGTCTTTGTCATGTGTCTGTCTTTTAGGTGTCTGCAGCTCACAGTTGTTTACCACTGATTATCTCTACACTGATTATCAGGTTTTGTGTACTCTCTATGTTGATTTAAGAGGCTTGCCATAGTTATAGAGCCTTTGATTCTATGGTAATGACTCAATATTTATAGCTCCAAGCAGGATAATATTTATCCTATTTTTACTACTGCTATAAATATCTGCTTTGCTCAATAGCAACTCATTGGTCACACTGCCCTTATGACCTATCTTTTCTGTCTATAATTTCTTTACAAAAGAAAATGTTTTTTACTTAACTTCTCTAACCTTATTTCCAGGATGTGCAATAGTTTTTGAAATTGGAAGTTAAATTATACCTATAGTACAGGCAGTTAAATCAGAGCTACATTAACTTTACAAAACTGAAGGATAACTTTGAAATCACCTCATTAACCCAAGTTAGAGGGTTATCTTACTTAAACAGTTGCTTTTCAATGGTATGGCCTGTTGGAAAAAGAGGAGTTTGTAATTATAATTATTTTTGTTTTAGACAAATAAATTATAAATGACATTTTTTTGGCAACAGTATTATTAGACAACATTAATCTATTTCTTTGATCACAGCTAAAACCCTCTAGTTTTCTTAAAAAAAGTAGCAAAAATTTATCAAAATTTAGCTAAATTGCTAGGAATGCTGATTGTTTCTGCAATTGTTATTGTCATAAGGAAGCAGTACCATTGTTAGTTACCAGAAAGCACTGCATGACTACCTCAAAACTAATGTAAAGCACATATTTGATCAGGACTAGACTTGACAATTAATTACAAAGTAATATATTTTGTTTTATTGCAACAATACAGCTCATTTTATCTGCAATAACAGATTAGAGCTGGAAAAGGCTTTTTGTTCCAAAGTAATTAATTTGTTTCTATGTGCAGATTTAATAAGTTCAATAATTTTGATTTTCTTGTTCTCGCTTCTAGGTTTTTTTCATCTTTTTTAGCATTTTTTAGAATTTTAAAGGAGGCTTTTGTTTGTGTTTTGTTAATTGATTACTTTGCCCTTCATTATGTTTATTCACCTAGAAAATCTTACAGTATTTCTCATTCCCCTCATATTTTGAGGTACATACTTCTGTATATACCAAATTTTATATAAACTGCTGATTTTTTCAAAGGATTTACCTATTTCTTCATCTTACTACTCTACATTGTTTTCCATCTCCAAATGCAACAAATTATCCTTGTGTATGGAGAATACAAAAATCATCTCTATGTTTTCTGTCAATAGATATGCATTATTAGGATAATATGACAATATTTCTCTCTGTTCCTGTACTGTAAATAATGGGTTTTTTAATTTCACTATCTGGATGTTTATAATAATTTGCTGCTCATTTATGTCTGGTGGATTGACCCTGGCTAGGTGCCAAGTGGCTGCCAAAACTGCTCCACCACTGCCCTCCTGACCTGGACATGGGAGAGAAAATATAACAGAAGGCTTGTGGTGGAGATAAGGACAGGAGGGGATCACTCCCCATTATGGTCATGGGCAAAACAGATGACCCAGAGAAATTATTTTATTGCCAATCAGAGTAGGATAATGAGAAAATAATCCCCTAAAATTTTAAAGCTTTGCCTCGATCCCTTCTCTCTGGTCTCAACTTCACCTCTGGTTCTCTACCTCCTCCCTCTCAGCGGCAGGGGGAGATGGGAATGGGGGTTGCAGTCAGTTCATCACATGTTGTCTCTGCTACTCCTTCCTCCTCAGGGGAGAACTCTTCAGTCTATCCCTCTGCTCCAGAGTGAGTCCCTCCCATAGGCTGCAGCCCCTGAAAATTGCTCCAGGCTGGGTCCCAAGTCCTGCCAGCAAACCTGCTCCACGGTGGGCTTCTCTCTCCACAAGTCCACAGGTCCTGCCAGGAGGATGCAGGATGGGCAGGATGGGCTGCTGATCTGCTGCAGGATGGTCCACTGCTGTTACTTTAGCTCTTTGACTTCTGGTTAAAGAATTGAAGAGTGTATTGATTTCCAGACTGACTTGCAAAAAATTTATCTCCTACACTTTAGTAGTGAGTGAATAACACCCTGTTTCAAATACAGACAAAATTTCCCCTGTTTTGCCTTTGGTGACCTCAGAATTACGTTGCACTGGCCGCTATATGTTTTGACAGTGCTTATAATAATAAATTTACTTTGTATATAGGGTAAAAGTCGGTATTTCATTACTGACTTCATTAGCTGAAGATACACATTACATGATTTGACTGTGGTGTAGTGAGGAGAGACTATGTCATCCCCAGCTTCATTATATTAGTGCAATGTGATGGTGATGTGCTTTTTTCCCCCCTCCTTTATGTATGCATACCAGATAGACAAAAAGCAGTTTACACCTAAACATAGGAGGAAGAAGTTGTTTACGAATTAGGATTGTTTATATACATCCCTGGATGTAAGGCCATGCAGTGAATATGAGTACTCAGTTGAAAGTATTGAGCATACTTGGAATCATAAAGTGGAATGAATTAATAAGGTTTTGTTTAGGTCTTAATGAACATTTTCCAGGAAGAAAAATAAGAAAATCATGAGCAGAAGATTATTCTACTCTTGGAAGATTCTCATGGGAAAAGTATAACAGTTGCATGAGCAAGAATTTTTCCAGTGCCGGGTGGATCTCTCTAAGTATTCTTTTCTTGGTTTCTGTCTTTGGAACAAAGAAATCAGTTATATCAATTGTCATAGCCACCAGGAACTCTCTAAAGACCTATTCCTGCTAAGCATTATAATCAAGTTAACAATTGCAAATCTTCAATTTTTTATCATTTATCGTTTTAATTTAATCCTTACAAAATTTGGGGAGACTTAGTTGAAATTGCTGTATATCTAGCATTTTTTTTTCCACAGAGTGTATTGCACCATGGGATGGTGAATTCAACTTTTTCAATTACATGAAGACCATCACTTTTAATACATCCAGCTTTTAAAACAGAATTTTATTAAAAGCCTGTGTTAAATGTCCATGTGGTTGCATTTTACTCCAGTGTAACTTGGAGACATTTCTTAGACCATTTATGCCTTCTATTAGGCTTATTTATGATTAGGCCAAGGTTCTTGCTATTCGTGAAGGAATTGTGAGTGAAATTCAGAATTGTGAGTGAAATCTGATGTCATTGAGTCATTGTTACTTTAATTATTTCTGAAATACAAATCTTTCTTGAATCCAATTTCATTATTTAACTACACAGTAACTTCCTGTCCCAAATTTGTAAACTTAATTTTGGATTAATTTTTAATTATGGACAGGACATTTCTGTTTGAAAAACATTATACACAACATTTGCAATATAATTTTAATTAAAAATGCCATAATTAGGGGTTTTATTATAAGGAAAAATCAGTTTAACTTGTTTTATTATTAATACATCATATTAAGTGTAAATGGTAAGTCTCCAGTTTGGTGCATGGTATTAATTTCTATACATTTAAAGTATAACTATGGGAACTGTAGTTGCACTTAAATAAAGCATCACAGGAGTCAACTTTATATAAATATGTTTTACTATAAAACCCAAGAAAACACGATAACATTCTTGATCAAATCCCATCTTTTATTGAGTTTCTCACTACTACAGATATGGCAGGAAGTTGAAAAGTGCAACTTCAGATTCACTGAATATTTGCATTTCTTTTTAGATTACCGACATAATGGGAGAGATCTTCAAAGTTCAACACTGTCAGTGCCAGAGCAAGTAATGTCATCTAACCATTGTTCTCGATCAGGGTCCCCTCACCGTGGAGATAGTATAGGACGGACTAGATCGTGGTCTCCCAGTGTCCCTCCCCCACAAAGGTAAACTCCTGTTGAACTGTGCAATTATATAAACTAAACTGGTACTGATCTTCTACCAATGCTGGAAATAATCTCCAGACTTTCAAAATGGCAATTAATTGGTTATATCTTACAAAATTATGTAAAGCTGAAAATGGATTTTTTTACATTATAGTGATGTGCCTATATATAAATATATATAAATTTAATAATATACAAAAATGTAATATGATGCCTACTTATAAATATATAAATTATATTACTTTATATATAATTATGTGTTATTTATTGTTTATTGTTACTATATTATTTATTATTATTATATGATTACATAATTGTATCTTACTTCTACCTATTTATATCTAGTTTTTAATCAAAATTCTGTACAGTTTAATCCAAGGAAAGAAAAATATCTCTCCACATTTTCATTTCTTAGAGCTATTTACAGGTGCCATGTTTTATAGTATGTGATAGATATTTCTTTAGCATTCATATGACAGTGAATGTTTTCAACCCTTTTATTTCTGTAGAATTAGGATTCTGGGGGACCTCCCTTGCTGCCTAGAGTATCTTCCTTTCTACTATTTCTTTCATACTTCTAAATCATCAAGAATAAACTGATAGACATACAGTTTTATAGTGACAGATATCAACTCCTCATCTTGGAAGATATCTGATAAGTATTTATCTTGAGAAAATTAGACCAGGAAGTTTCTTCCAAAAGCTAGTACACATAATAATTGATTTAATGCTCTGCAGGATAAGCTTTCTTAAGAGAAAGGAAGCAGAAGGATAGATGTAAATGGGAATGAAACCTGTTCTCCAGCCCTTTTGTTGCTATGTTTGGGTAGGTTTCCAGGTGATATAATTCAGTTGAAGTGAAAGTGGAAGTTTTCTCTTTTGCCCATAAAGTTCACAATTCCCCTTTGATACTGAAGATCTGTATCCCATATTTCCTGTCAGGTCCATGTTCCTTTCAGTTTCTTTCAGACATCCTGATTCTCTTGTCTTCTGCTTTCCTTTCTGTTATCTTTGTTCTTTTTGTTAAGTTAAAATTCTCTTGACTTCATAATATTTTACTTATGTTTTTACTTACCATTTCCTCTAAGGGATGTAGCCTATATGATATCCTTTTGCATTAGTGAGATATTAGGATTCCAAATTATCTCCCATCATCTCTTACAGCTAAGAGGCAGAAACTGTGTGTTTCTACTTGAAATCTAAACCCACCTAAAACCAAGTCAGCCTGACTTGAAATGCGACATAAGTGGTAGACACAAAGGGGCTTATTCTGATTTTTAATATACTGATTTCAGCCTAAGTAATTGCTATGCTGAATCTCCAGAGGTTATTTGTCTTGGATATAGACATAAATATGAGCAAAATCTCTGTGTGTGTATGTTTGTGTTTTTATGTTTTTCTGTCTGCATGCATGCTGTGTGCATTTTTAGCAGAACTTTTACCCAAGCTGGTGATTAACGCTTGTTTAACATCATTGAAAAATCTACTCTTCATTTTCTTGTAGTCTTGGATTTCTGTACATGTTCAAAATCACTTGCTTTTTAACTTTCCTAAAGCTAAATTTTTAAATATAGTTTTGAATTTATTGCAGCTGTTTCCTACAATGTCAGAATCAAATGCATTATTTGAGTAATATTTCCCTGCCCACGCACCAAACAGAGCCCAGAAAATTGGGTTATGAGAGTTTGAGGATTTGCAGAAGAAAAGTATAAGCTATGAGTTACATAAATATCAGTTTTAGTTTTACTGAAAATGCAGGTGTACTCAGGAAATCTACAAGAATTATCAATTACAGTTTGCACCCTGTTCAGGTGAATTTGTTATACATGTGCTAGTCTATAGATGTCCTAACTGCAGTGAGCATTCTGCATGCCCAGGGATTTCCTATTACTGACACCTCTGCAGCCAGGAGATTTTGGGCCATAGAAGTTGCTGTTATTTTTTAGAAACCATTTTGCAGTCCTCAATCCTACTTAGTTTTTTAATGAACTCCATCAAAGGCCCGCTGCGTGGTAGCTGACAAGATATTGTTACTGCTCTTGTTACTCTGTACTAGCCAGAGTAAACCCAGTATCTGGATTCATGAATGCCAGAGTGGAAAATGCTTTATGACAAATGAGGCGGAGCTGAAGGCAAAAGTTTATGTGTAATGAAACATCTTTATAGCACATATATGCAGAAATAAATAATGTCAGGGCAGCAGCTGTGAAGGATACATGTACAAGTTAACACTAGTCAGAAAGTGGTAAATGATTAAGGGTAGGAATGACAGGTACCAAAAGGGCAGACAAAGTGACAAGAAAGGAAAGGGGAACTGAGTGATATAAAACCAAAATAATAAAGGAAACTGAGGCTAACACTAGAGCAGATTGCAGTAAAGGACAGGAGACAGAAGAATTTATTGGTCTTTAACTTGTATGGAGGGAAGCATCCAATTTGTTATTTTCAAATCGATACAAAACAATTATGTTTACATTATTATGTAATAATAATTATTACAGTTAACAATTGTCTCCTATTTTCCTGTTCTTGTGGATTTGTTTTACAGAGCACAAAAAGTAATGTGTGTGTCAGTAGGTATTGATAGATAAACTAAGCAAAACAATCCATAAGCAAAGCTTTGGTCTCAATTAGTACAGGTGACCTTTACCCAAGCCTGCACTAACCCACTAAGTGGGTACCACATACAGTCCTATTTTTAAATTCAGATGACCATGCTTTCAGCAGGCTGCACTCTACTGTAACAGCCACAAGTGCCTCTTGTGTCTTATTACAGTTTACATCTTTATAATAAATCCAAAATCAAGAACTCGTGAAAAATTATTTACAGTGTATGTTTCCATCAGAAATGAATTTTTGCTTAAAGTCTGGAAAGACTAATGAAATGTTATGCAAGATTAACATTTTTAATGAAGGAAATGAAAAAGCTTTCCTCTTATTTCTAGAAGAAACACATTGGAACAAAAAAAGAAAACTCTATCCTTATCATGGACTTGGCACCATTTTCTACAGGAAAATTTATTTTTTTTTTACTTTAAGATTTAAAATTATTTTACTTCAAAAGTCTGGTCAGCTAACAGATCTTGTTACCAGCATGATTGCTGATAATTGTTTGTAGACACCAGTGAGAGGTGTCTACAATTATGTTTACATTATCCAATATGTTCACATTATCCAGTGAGAGGTGTCTACAGCAAATTTCAGGCTGTGATATGTTTTCTCCTCAGTCGGAATGTGGATCAGGGACTGCGAGGGACTCGATCCACTGCTGCGCATTACAACACCCTGAGCCGCATGGACAGGCACCGAGCTGTGGACGACCACTACTCCCCAGACAGAGAGAGGTAAGCACCTGGCTGGAATTAGGAACAGCTGCACAGGCATCAACGTGAGTAACTTCAGTCTGGTAGCTTGCTAAAATAAATTACATACCTAATCCCAGAGATTAGCATTTCTCCTTTATCCACTGGTCGCATGGCATACATTACAAAATATCAGTGCACATAAGGCTGGCAAAACTGTCCAGTGAGTGTGTGTTTGCCAGGAGGGAATCTGAAAAAATCTGTGAGACAATGTGTGATGTAATAGCTGAAGAGTTTAGTTATACTTTTTAATAAAAATATTTTTCTTTTGTGTGTTATATTAGTGAATTCTTTTAGTACTAAATATCTTTTAAAAAAATCCATCAGTAGACTTGGTCATTTTTACTGCTGAATAAAGAGGCATAAAAATAGATAATTTCATTCAGTATTAATGTAATGCTTCCTTTGGATACAGTGCAGTTCACACATGTAACAAAAGTATATTCTAGTACCGTGTTCTGTTTTTTATCTTTGCTCAACCTTCTGAGACACTTGGTAAAAAAGAAAAGAAAAAATTATTAGGACAGCATGTATGAAATCAGTCTTTGTGTTTAGAGGCACATCTGACTATGAATAATGTTTTGCCTAATGGAACTTCCCAAACAGTAAGCAGAGCTTTAGCAACCTCTGTGAATTTTAATGATGTAAAAAAGAATTTCAGCAATAATTGAACAGTATAGTTAATTTTACTGAATTAATTGTGGCAATGACTTTGCTACATTAAAAAAATATTGGTCTTTTCCACCTCATGTCTTCAGGTAGAAAATCAAACCAAAAAGAATTGATTACCTTTAATCTTTAAATATTTCAGCTCTTTTGCACCAAGTTGAAATTTCTGCACTTTATAATGAGAGGTATAATGCTAGCTTTTGTCTTATTTTATAACTGCATATACCAATGAGTAATACAGATATGTTTTGTAATCTTGAGGAATATAAGACTACTATTTGAAGTGAATGTTTTTACAGGTAGCTATCACAGGTTATTCTTCAAGTGGCATCAAAACACGTGTTTGGGGTTTCTAACAATTTGAGAAATTGGCTGCTTTTTGTTAGCAATATTGAACAGAAAATATAAATATTTCTTTAGAGACCAGTAATGTGATGGTCAGGGATTTTGTGGAATGCAAGACAGTACTTTTCAAAGGATTATAATATTTTAATTTCAGAAGATAAAAATAATAATTAATTTTCCCCAATGATATGTTACAAAAAAGTATCAAAAGGAATTAAAACCCATATCTAGTCAAAGTGGTTTGTAGTTTAATTTGGTGAATAAAAAAGTCAAATGGGCAAAAATAAAGCTAATGAAAAAACAGTGCAGTGTTTATCATCTTGAAGAGGAACTGTATTCATCACAAGTACAGTAGCTCATAAGTGAACCTCTTTTTTGCATTAAAATATTTAATATTCCTGTTTAAATATTGGGAAAAATCTATTCACTTGATTTATTATGATTTTCATACAGAAGGCAATAACTTGAAGATTTTGAGCTGTTTCTTTAAAAGAATATTACAGAATGCTTTTGGGATGCAATGTTATGTTGATTTTTAGACCAGTCATCCTTGAAGCAGGATCTAAACTCGTCCTTAGAGCCTGTGTATGCCTCATGGAATACTCTGCGTTTGCTCACTGTGCGAGTTTTCATTTGCTGCCTCCCAGATAAATACAAAGCTGTGCAAGGTTGCTTGAAGTTCGGTACCACAATGTTTTTCCATCCCTTCAATCAAATAATCCCTCCTGGACTGACTTGATTTAGAGAAAAATAATTGGGTTTTTCAGAATATGTCAGAAAAACAATGTCAGCAGGAGATGAGATTGGAGATTGAGACTATTGAATTTTCATGACCATTCTAGATTAATAGGGGTTTGCTTGAGAGGGGTGCTCTGAATCTCTGAACATGGTTTTATATGTTGTCTGTGTTTTCCAAAACACACAGAGAAACTCTCCTCTTTGCACATGGTGACTGGTTGCCTGTGCAATCAAGTTATTGACTAGTTATGTCTCTATTGTTATATGCAGTCTGTGAACAGGAGAACACTATTTCCAATAATAACAATGGATTTTTTTTAATATTCATAGCTAATTTGACAGTGATTTTGTGCATGGAAAGGTTATTAGATTTCTAATTTTTTAAATGAATATTTGCGATACTGTCACTGCTATATAATAAAACCCAGTGGTATCCCTAGAGTAGCTCTTTAATAGTATTGTTCCTGAAAACTTCTAGAACTGCAGGCAGTTGGGGGAAGTTGAAAACTGCATTTTTGTATAGGTTTGTAGTCTCTCTACAGGTTATCCACACTTGGTTCTGAAAACAAATCACATATTTCCCTCCCACAGCTCTGATGGCTTCTTGTTTCCATGAAACAGCTTTTGAAGCTGCTTGCAGAAAGCATAGACATGCTCAGTTGCTAGGTTAAAGTGTGACTGAGAATATGAGTAAGAAAATTCTTTCCTTCCTTTTCTATATAATTCAGCATTACGTTCTCTAAGAATATTGCACTGAGAAGTTAGTTGAAACCACATGGAAAAAGTCTGACCTCAAGTCTAATGGCAATGAAACATTCCTTCAAAACTGAATGCATAGTTAGAAAAGAAAATAAAATTATTTTTAAAAACCCTGCAAGACACATTTAGAGATAATTTAAATTTCAAACACCAAACCCTTAATTATGTAAAATATGGCCATATACTATACTTATTTTAGTAAAATGTGAGGGTAAATTAACAGTTTAAAAGTTCTCTAAGAATATTGCACTGAGGAGTTAGTTGAAACCACATGGAAAAAGTCTAATGACCTCAAGTCTAATGGCAATGAAACATTCCTTCAAAACTGAATGCATAGTTAGAAAAGAAAATAAAATTATTTTTAAAAACCCTGCAAGACACATTTAGAGATAATTTAAATTTCAAACACCAAACCCTTAATTATGTAAAATATGGCCATATACTATACTTATTTTAGTAAAATGTGAGGGTAAATTAACAGTTTAAATTTGTATCTGTTGCTGTATTAACAAAACTGTGAAATTGCACTGTGTATACTGCTAACTCAAATTGAGAAACCATGTAGATTTTTTACCTGGATGTTTAATATAGGTCTGCTAGTTAATTGTTATCAAAATGTGAGGGTTTTTGTGGGTACTCACACTCTTATGAAACAGCCAACATTTGAAATGTAAGGAAATATGAATACTTATGACATAATATGGACCCAAGTTCCATAAGAACATTTATATGTAATGGGATAATCTCATAAATGTCACTTGGACATGTTTTGATAAATTGTCTAAAACTGATTTTACCTCACTTGAGAAACTGAAACTAATCAAACCATAGAAACAATTGCGAAAATTTTGGAAACAGCTTGATTTAACATCAGAGTTTTATATTTAAACAATCAATGATTAGGTGAGTTAGAGGGAAAATGTGAGAATCTTAGCATAGTTCCAGAAAGAAAAAAAACCAAACAAAACAAAACCACCAAACTATATCTGTGTGTTTCTTTCTGAAAGGTATATCAACAGCTACAAACAAATACCAAGACAGTGTGAGAAAATTGTACACAGGCCCACAACTTCAACAATCTCAGATATTATTTAGCAGCTATTAATTTAACTATATTTGGTATTCAAGATGGATTCTCCCTGAGGAATAACATTCCTAATTGTGAATTTAGCATAGGTATGTTAAACCAGAGTATTCTAAGAATGCCTAACTCAAATAGTCCTGCAGGAGAAATGTATGAGAAAGCTCCTGAAGAGTTTTTCTGAGAGGCACTTAAAAGAAAGCAAGAGAAAAGGGAAATGATCCACTATTTGTTCATCAAAGCTATTGCACACTTTCCATTTGAAAGAGGAAAAGTTGCCACCTGTTTTGTTAAACTAATAGGGTAGTCATAAGCATGGTTATTTAGAGAAATATTGTCCATTATTTTGAAATCACATTAAAGATGTTATCTGGATGTGCTGGGACTAGCAGGACTATCACACCCCTGTTACTGAGAGGAGATTTCATTCACATATTTGAATACACACTTGGTTTTTTTTTTCATTCTGTTGAAAGCATGTAGCTTGGATTTTTCTAACATGAAGTAAATGTTGAAATACATGCCAAACAATTCAATTTGCTATAATCAAACCAGTGAGGACCAAAATAATTCACTACAATGAGGCTGTTAAATGTTAGCTAAAACACAATATAAATATCTTCTATTATTTGACACAAAATTAATGGTGGGCAATAGCAACATGAATTTTACATTTCTAAATGTCATCTTAAACCATGCAGTTGTTTTATCTATGGGTAGGAGGCTTCTAATCTAATACTCTTATTAAACAGATGCCAGATTAGGCCAAACTAGGTAAAGATTTTTTGATACATTTTTCCATATTAAAACACTGAAAATAACTGGTTTTTTTTCAGTCTTTATTGAATACAGACCTGGATAATATGTAACTAGGTAGCCACTTATGTATTATAGTTAAATTTTACTGTAAAATCATTTAAATGCAGTTTAAAATACAAAGATATTATAAAGTATAAAGGGTTCCTGATGCTTTATTTGGAAATTTTGGGATAATTTTTTCAGGTTTCAGTTGTGTGCATTATGTGGGTAATGTACCCACATGGGATATATAATGTCACTGCTTTGCTTCTTCGAATACCCAGTAAAGTAAAATAAATGCACTGCTGAAAATTTGCTTATAGCTATGGTATAAAATGTTTGCATCAGTTGGAATCTCAATAATTGCAGTGTGTCTTTAAGTTCTTTTTCTTCTTTCAAATCACTGTTTAATTGCACAATTATCTGCACCACCCACCTGGTGCTTCTATGAGTCTGCCGCAGGATGATTATCTCCAACAGGGATGGCAGAGTAGGAAGGTGGTAAAGAAGCTTTGAGTCAATTTTTTTTTAAAAACCTCACCACCAAGAGTCTTAGATGTATTCCTCAGAATAAAATGCACAAAATGCACAC